CCCAGCTACTTGGGAGGCTGAGGCAGAAGAATAGCTTGAATCTGGGAGGTGGAGGTTGCAGTGAGCCAAGATTGCGCCACTGTACTCCAGCCTGGGCGACAGAGACTCCATCTCAAAAAGAAAAAAACATGCTCACACACACACACAAAACCCAGATACTGTGCAAAAACAACAACAAAAACCCCACCAGTTTGTTTGTTTGTTTCCATCTCTTCGGTATTCTTTTAATTGTAGTTATATATCTCAAATTTCTAAAGTTTCAAATTAATTAAAAAGGGGACTTTACAGTAAAAAAATATTGTCATCTTATTCTCATACTGTTAAATTTTCAAGTGACAATTGCTGAAACAGAGAACTGTTTGTTTAAACAACATGCTTCAAATGATTCCTGGGCAGGCAATAGAGCTGAATTAAGAAAAAAAGGCTCTTTACAACCCCCCACTGCTAAATTTGACTGGCTTAAAAAAAAAGAAAGAAAGAAAGAAAAGAACAAGGAAAAAGGCTCTTTAACAAAGAGCTTCCTGAATTTGTTAGATGAGATCTTAATGAGGGTTAGATTCTTGCAGCACTGCGTCAGGTATCACTATTAGGTTGTTGTGGGTTAAGATTTAAAACACAAAACAAACAAAAAAAATGAAAAAAAACCACAACTGTGTGGTTGTCCCCTAGTTCTGTGATACTCTAACTCTGATTGCACCACACAATTTTATTGTAGCCAAGGACACCATTTCAAGAAGAAATAGCCTGTTCAAAGTTGTGTAGATTTGAAGAATGATAAATATCGGGGAAGGCTGGGGCTCTGAAGGGTAAGAACAGCGGCTCATATTAACCCTGGTTAATATAACATCTTTGCAGTCTGAGTCTACGCAGACAGTAAAGTGACTAGACTCAAGTACCATGGAAAAGATGCCTCGTTCATCAGATAATACCAAACTTTTACTTCCTTATTTACACCTAGATGGCCTAACTGTAGTGTATCAAACTTACTGTATGTAAACATCTATTTAAAATGCTGTCTCATGGTTCTCTGATTACCCTCAGATTCCTTTATAAAGAATTGCACATTTGTGTAGGTATTTGATGTTGTGAACTGCTTATTTTGGGGGCATAGGGCAGGACAACAAAAAAATTCCAACAAGCCTTTCTTTCCCTCATCACGTACACAACTTATATTAGCATCCACAAAATGAGATGAGATGGGGATTGAGGTGTGAGGAACTCCATCCAAAGAGAGGATGATGCATCCCATAAAGGACAATCCCCTCCCTAGTTCAACAGCTATTACTCAACTCTCCCCCTACACAAGTTTCTCAAGATCAATTTAGGACTGCTAGAGGAAAAACCCTAAGTCATAAGCTGCAGTCTAAAAGCCGTGTTCTTCAATCCTGGTGTAACTAAATACATTTCTATCAGTCGTTTCCTCTGACCCTACTCTTACTTCCGCTTCGAAATTGACTATATTTTTTGAATAGCCTTGCTATTTTACAATCATATAAAGACACCCTTAGGGTCCTCACAAGTGTACTGATTAAGATAGTCTATTTTTTTTTCAATGATCATTGAATAAGTTAACTCATGTATGTGAAACTCTTAGTAAGTGCTCAGTAGTTTGGCATTCTTTAAAAGACCTTTAGATATAGCTCGTTTGTTTTTAAATTTTTCATTTTTTTCTTTAGCAAAACAGGAACTAAAAAATAATTGACCAACATACATTTTCTTTTAAGAAAAAATTTTTATAAAGATGAAATTTTGCTATGTTGCCCAGGCTGGTTTTCAACTGCTGGCCTCAAGCAATCCTCTCACCCCACCGTCTCAAAGGGCCAGGATTACAGGCAAGAGCCATCATGCCTGGCTGATGACAAACATACATTTTTCTTAAAATACTCTTTTAAAAGCATAGGGAAACTGAAATGCGAAATTTATGAAATTTTATAAGCCACTGATACATTAAAAAAAGAGCTAACCACAATCTGTACACACATAGTTAAGTGGTGACATTAAGATGGAGAATTCAGGCAGTTATGCTAATAATTCAAAAATATATATATGCTCTGGGGATTTAAAAACTTGAATTATCCATGTTGAATATTACATTCATAATAAACACTAGATAATTACTGATTCTCTCCAGAGCTGAACTGATGTGTGCGGATAAGCTTCCACATATCTCTTCAAATAACTGAGAATCTTGAAGATAAGTTCGAACAACCGGAAAGGTGGAGTAAAAGGTACTAATCACTGGTGACTGTCCGAACATTCCCTTCCCTGCGGGCATCATATACAAAGGCTCAAACCAAGTTACACCCTTGGAATTAGAGAAAAGAAAAGAAAGAATGCACCCAGTGTTTTCCCTCCTTGATGCAGGAATTTGAACCATCTAAGTAACAAAGCAACCTTCAGTATCTGCAAGCACAGCCTTTTATCCGCCTCCTGCGGAGCATCTTTGGAACCACGTTTCCCAAGCAGCGTGAGAGCACTGTAGGTATCACAATCCCCAAGGGTGAGGAACTCAGTGGCTGGGGTGAGAGCCCTCAGAAGGCATTACAAAAATGTGGAGCGTGTTTAAACAGTGAAGAAAGTCGGAGCAAAGCACTAGCACTGCATTTTCCCGGCAGAGGACAGGTAACCAGTCTACGCTGACTTTGGGGAGTACAAAGCACCCCCACACTGGGGGAACACGTGCTAATAATATAGAATCAACACATCACCAGGACGGAATGTACTGCCTCTGCTTGGTATAATTTCCAGTCAATTCGGCCTACCGAGAAGTAATTACTCTTCTCCCAAAGGTGTTTTCTAACTGGCTTATTTCATTGTTGTTTGGGAGTGGGGGAGGGGGGCGGTTAATGAAATTTCTGCGTTACTAGACGCTTTAATTTCCAGCGACCCTGACACAAAAAATAAACATTGGGCTTCCTCACAGGGAAACTTTTCACCGAGGTCAAATGCGCCCCATTTGCGGAGGGCGAGATTCAGTAACCTTCTCGTCATTACTAACTGGGTCCGGGAATCAAAAGAAATTAAACCCACCTCCAAGCAAAGCCACGCTTCCTTCTACAACACCGTGTACCTCTCCCCTTCCCACCCCCACTCTGTACCCGGAGAGAGAGAAGCACGCCTCTTGGGCGCGAGGAGAGCTTACTGATGAGCGTTATCAGAAACGCCCAGCCAAAGCGGCCCGGGTCACGGAAGGGGCAGGGTGGGCGCTGCGCAGCTCCGAGCTCCGGGCGCGCGTCTGGGAAACGCGCTGGCTCGGCCCGGACGCGTCATCGGCTCCCCGAGGGTCTCTCCTCCCCGCCCTTTGCCCCCGCGCCGCCCCGCCTCGTTCTCGGGAAGTTTCAGGAACTTCCAGGACCGGGAGAGTTGCAAGTGCAATTTGAGCACGATAATTCCCAAGGTACTCAGGTTTTACCAACGCGGAGAGAGTGGGATTCATCAAGTTTCGGAGAAAAAAAAAAAAAAGCGAATGGGGTGAGAGGGATGGGAAATTAGACTGACAGCTTTAATTAAATCAACCATTTGCTCTTCTACCATTTGGCACCCAGCCCGTCTCTCCTCCCATCCCTCCCACCCCGCGCCCCGGGTTCCTTTGCAGTGACGGAACTGGGACCTGCGCTCGGTTGGACTAGGATTGGAGGGAAACGTCCCCAAACCGCGCTGGTTCGGGCGGGAAGGCGCGGGAGGGAACCCGGCAGACGCTAAGATGGCAGGAGGCGCCCCGCGCCCGTCCGGCCCACGGCCTCGGGCCTCCGCAAAGCCTTCATTTTTATTTGCTTTTCAGCATTCACGGGTGCAGACACTTCCACTGCAGGGTCACGTCAAGAATCTAAACTCATTATTTTAGTCTGTAGATTTACACAGAACAAAAAATCCTTACCGGGCACAAAAATGCATGGTTGCGTTTCTGATGAACAAAATGTATGTTACCAATAAAAGCATTTTAAATATTGAACCCTTTAAAGCAACACATTCGCGATATCTTTGCCCTAGGAGCTCCAGCTCCAGCTCCAAAGAACTGCCCTGGAGTTCTTTGAACCTGAATTCTGCTGCAGGTTCGGGCAGAGGGAAGGTGCGGGGCGGCGGGGGCTGGGGGTGGGTAGCTCCCTCTAAAGCGCCGTTTAAGAAAGTTTTTTTCCTGCTCTTTCTAGGAGCTCCCGTTGTAGGGGACGGTTTTGGAAAGGCACCCTGGCATACACTCTTTTGTAAACATCTGATCTCCTCTAATGCTCTGTAACTAACCACCACCCATTTAAGAGATTTCATCTCCTAAACTGCCAGCGTGGTCGAGTAAAAGCAGTGTCTCCTGAGGGTCGCGAATCTTTGCATAGCGGTTGCTAACACGAAGTAACAATTTACTGTTGATTTTCAACAGTAATATTAATACTCTTGAATTTGATACCTTTTTGTTGAATGGGGAAAATTTTAGGGAGGAACCACGTGGAAGTCAAGTAACCACGATGTTTTAACAAAGCACTTTGTCACAAAAGAAGTTGGCTTTGCAAAGCTATAGAACATCAATCAAGATTTCCATATGAAAAAAGCACTTTATGAAGTGTGGAATACTATAGGAAGCACGCTAAGCAAATTTGCACTTGGATTTTTGCAATGTAATCAGTCAAATCCCCCAACCCAGGCTCCTAACCGCCCCCCCCCTGACATCCCAACAAATGATGGCACCTAAACTATTATTGATTATAAAAAAATAAATTATTGTCTAAAACGAAGAACCAAACACCAAGTAAACTAGTCCTTTATTCTAATCTTAAAGGTTTGAACCTTTTACCTGTTGCAATATTAATAGAAACTTTTTTAACAGTCAAAATATACATTCGGTTCAACAAATTTTAACTTTAAAACTATAGAAACACCTTCAAATTCATCAATACATTTACAGTATCATAATTCAAAGCTACATTTAACACATTTTAAAACTTTAGAAAAGTTTTACTTGTAGAAAAAGAAACTACTAGGTAAAGTGTTCTCATTTTTTTAAAACTTACTCTTTTGCTTAAAAGAAGTGAAGTCACGCCAAGTGATTGAACTCCTTGGAGGATGAAGTAAAAGGAAAAGGCCAGTTCAGGCACTGAGACCTGTCTATTTAAAGTTTAAAACTCTGCTGCTGCTTGGTACTTTCCTCACGCCTTCCCCCTAATGAAAGAAAAGTGCTGATACCTCGTAAAAGCTTTTTTGTAACTTGGAGCACAGAGCTTTTAAAAGTTTCAAGCCACTGACTCAACTGGGAGGAGGGGCTAGCAGAAAGGGGAGGGCAAAGGGAAAGGCGGGGAGGAGGTGGGGAGGAGGCTGGTGAATGTGGAAGGGTGGGGGAAGAAGAGGCAAAGAGCAGGAGCGGGATCAGGATAAAGTCGTAGTTTAAATTTGCTGATGAGAAAAAATAACATAACATTTGGGACATGAATGCCTCCACTTGGAGTTGTTCCTCACTCATAAGAATCATTGATTATTGTGCTTGTTTCACCAAAAGAGCAGGGATGATGGGGAAAAAATAGTGTATATTTTTATTATAACATTGTCTAAAATTTTTTGAGTCGTTTACAATATAAATAAAAATGGCGGGGAAGCATATAATCAGTTCAAGCTTGTTTCACACTGACCAAGGTGTGTGAAGTTACAGGTAGGTGTGAGTGACCTGTTTGATGATCTAATTCCCTTCCTTTAAATTTAAATAAGGACAATTAACAAAGGAAATGGCAGGGAAGGGAGAGAGACATTTTAAAAATCGATGTAGATGAAGAAAAGTCTATACCCAATCCATCTTTCCGCCCCTTCATTGCTTTGAATTTTTACTCTTTCAGTTTAGCAAAAGGCTGTGTGTGTGTATGTGTGTGTGTTTTACATATGTAGCATGTTTTGTTTGCCTATGAAATCTTGATATATCTGACCTCTACCCTATCTCCAGAAAACTAAGATTTTATATTTCAACCCTCTTTATTCCAAAACACTAAAACCCAAATCTGTAGTGAAATGTCAGGATTTTTAAAACACAGACTATGGGCCGGGCACTGTGGCTCACGCCTGTAATCCTAGCACTTTGGGAGGCCGAGGTGGGTGGATCACCTGAGGTCAGTTCAAGACCAGCCTGGCCATCATGGTGAAACCCCATCTTTATAAAACAAAACAAAACAAAACAAAACACAGACTATGGTTGCCTTGAGTAGTTTCCCAAACTATTCAGCCTCCTTAAGATCACTTCCCCCTCTCAAGCCCACTAGAGTTTTCTGCCCAGTGACAGTAGAGTGGGCAAATCATCTTTCTGTGTTTCCCTGCCCCTTTCAATACTCTCCCTCTTCAAGGCTCTGCTTTAGGGTGTATAATAACCTGAGTCATGTGGCCTCATTCTTAAAGCAGGCAGCTGCTTTGAGAGCTTCCCAGATGCCATAGCAGAGTGTTGCGGTAGGACAATTCCTCATAAACAGGCTTCGGTGATGCTCCTGAGGTTGGGCAGGAAATCTCTTGGCCATATTCTCTGGAAGGAAAGCAAACTCATCTGGCCTTCATATTCCTAACACTTTTCTCACTAGTGGAAATACCAGAAAAAAGAAGGATGGCCAATATATTCTGGTAGACACCGTTCCCTAATTAAACTTTCACTGAAATGACTAATACAACATCTTTTGAAATGTTGCAGTTTTAAGGAACAATTTTGCTTTCACTTGTTGGCTATCCTATTTCCAAGAGTATATTTTTCTCTAAGGAAGGGCAAAAACAATCTTCTGGAAGTAGAAATTGTAATCTGGCTTTTGAGTCTTCAGGTTTAGCAACCTATAAATATTGTTTTGGTCTTGTATTTATGAATCTATTGTTTTGTCTTAACTAAAAATTATTTCATTGGACTTAGAACACATTCATGAAAATGATTTATTCTTTTTATCATAAAAATACATTTCTTCTTTATCAAAAAAACTATGCTTCATTTCATTTACATAACAGTTTATTTTTGTAAAAATATTTTTCAAGTACAATTATAAAAAAACTACCATGATGTTAATTCAGATTAAGTTTCGTGAATGAAAAGTTGTCATTGACTATTTTATAATAGGGATTTTAGAGCAAAACAATACTGTGTTTATTTTTCTTATGTTTGGTTAGGTCTTATAGATGGATATTGAAGTTCAAGTATTCTGCTACCTTTTCTTTTTAAATTATTACCTATGTGACCAACTGGAAAGATAACTAAAGAACTTCTTTTTAGCAAGTTAAATTATTCATGGATATCACTTGAACCATTTTCTTAACCAAAGGGATTACTCGTAGGATAAGCCAAGCCATTGATTAGTTACTTCTCTTAATATACGAACATATTATGTCTTTTCTTTCTAAAATTATTTTTCCATGATCACTGATACAAGATCTCAGTATGATTTCATCAAAAATATAATTGATAAGACATTCTGTGGAGCCTTCTCTTCTTTTGGGTTAATGGCACTGAAATGCAATGCTACGAGTAACCACACACAAGGGAAACTAGGTTTTGTGAAAGATCCCATAGTTTTCTTTTTCTTTCTTTTTTTTTTTTAAGACAGGTTTCACCAAGTTGGTCAGGCTGGTCTTGAACTCCTGACCTCAGGTGATCTGCCTGTCTTGGCCTCCAAAGTGCTTGGATTACAGGCATGAGTCACTGTGCCCGGCTTAATCCCATAGTTTTCTCTGCTGGACAACTAACGGGGTCTCTAAATGACAAATAGCAATCCCTATTATTACTCATATTTTAGCAGTGTTGGTGAGTTATATTTTTGTCAACAATACAGTTGTACAAAAGTATCTCACTTACCTGACCTTGAAGCTTGTCGCCATTGGAATGTTTTGCAAAAATTGTGGAATAGTTTTTTTTTTTTTTTTAATGTGTTTTTCTCATAGTCTCAGAAATGTCAATGTCATGTCTTTAATATAAACACTGACTTCCCAGAACTGTATCTCCTCTGATTGTCAGACCTTGTCTATGTAGAAGAAATGGATGCAGCCTAATTTGGTAGTCAGACAACACTGCTCTTTGAAAAAGTAGAAACATTTAACTACAGTTTCTGTCTTCTGCAGGGATTCTTTAGGCTGAATCACCTGCCATGACTTTGATTCTGTTTTATCCATGTAGCTATATACTTCGAAAAATGCACATTATTGTCACAATGGAGGGTAATTTATTCAGAATTGTGAGAAATATTTCTTAATATGAGAACCAATTCCTTTTTTGGATTTTTACCTTTGTTTCAAAATAGGAATTTCTGAAATTTTAAGAAATGAATGGAGTGATTTTTAAGGTCTTTAAATGCCTATCTCACACAAATTCTGATGGATTACTTTCACCTCATTCAATAGCATAAACATTCAAAAATAATTGGTGGCTCCAGATTAGAGACCTGTAAGAAGAGTATTTGTAATGGGAGAGCAGTGAGCTATAGAAATTTGAAATGCACTACTAACAGTAAGAAAGGGACATAGAATTATCAGAACTTGATGACGGATGAATGGGAGGAGAAGGGAGAGAAGGCTGTGGAAACTGATTTTTGGAGTTTTGACTGGGAAAATATTACCTACGCACAAAAAAGGAAACTGGGGGAGGTACTGAAAAATATTTCAAACAGTAATGAGTTGAACAGTAATGATTTGTTTGAAATATTTTAGTATGAAGAACTAAAAAAATCTAGGTAAATACAGCTGACTGACAATTTAAAACAGGAGCTGTAGAGTTCACTTTAAAATTGTTATGGCTGGGCGCAGTGACTCATGCCTGTAATCCAGCACTTTGGATGGCCAAGGCGGGCGGATCACCTGAGGTCAGGTGTCCAAGACCAGCCTGGGCAACATGGTGAAACCCCATCTCTACTAAAAATACAAAAATTAGTTGGGTGTGGTAGCTTCCTGAAAATAGGCCTCATGAAACTAGGGTTTGAAGGTATTTTCTCCAAGTAGGTGAGGTTATCAGCTGGCTGAGATGAAAGTGAGTAAAGAAGAATGGGAAAATCTGCAATACCTCACAGACAATTCAAGGCATTTGCAGAAGAATGGAAAGACTATCTGAGACTAAGAGGGTCTAGGTTGATTTTGTAATGAGATAAGATGGCATTAGTTTACAGATTTCCTTTCCTTAGCATCAGAATCATCCTTTCAATGCACCAAATTGCCATTTTCACTAATACTTACTGAAAACAAGAAAGAAGTAAAAGTTAATTTGGAGCTTATTAGTTTACAAGTTTAGAAATACTCTACTCAAATTGGTAAAATTAGCTAGAAAATCCGTTCTTAATGTGACTGTTGGTCAATTACATTTCTTCAGACCAGTAAAGATTTCTCATCATATTACCAACTTGTGCTGGTATCATTTTTCAAAAGATAAGTTTCTGGGGTCTGTCAATTTGCTTCATAATCCTGAAGTACTCAACTTAACTGAAAACTTCTTTCCCATTTACTTAGCATTCTATCATCTTGAAAGATGTTTAAGAATCAAAGATTGATTTGAACTGTGTAAAATGTCAACTCATATTTGTAGCCCACATTTATCTCCAAGTGAATCTTACTGTAAACCAAACTACACAGAAAGGTATTTGTAAAGGGAAGAATTTGTTTTGCTTTGTTTTGTGGAATGGGAAAGAATTCCGGTCAGTGGATAAATATGTCTTTGGCTCCACCTTCTGTGCAGAGTGAAAATGAACATTGCAAGAAGAAACTGGTAAATCATTGATTTCATGTTTATTTGTTTAATTTTACGTTTTCATTGAGGGTTGGTTAATTTTTTTATGATTGCTTGTGAACTCATTCAGTAAATATTTAAGTCTCAGGGATTATGGCAGACATTAGTATTTTTTAGTTATGCAGTCAATCAAAACCAATATCAAAGTTGAACTTCATTTAGCTTTAGTCTTTTGAGTTTTCTTTAAGGGAATTTTGAAAAAGCAAGCAAACAAAGGTAGGGAAAAAGAATACTAGCTAGGTTCCTCAAAAAAGAAACATGCTCTTTTCCTCTGTGAGTCCACAGGGGGGTGCTATTTTAAGAAGGCAATCAATAGTATATCCATTTTAAAAAACGATCAGAAGACACCTGGATGTGGTGGCTCACGCCTGTAATCTCAGCACTTTGGGAGGCCAAGGCAGGCAGATCATCTGAGATCAGCAGTTCAAGAGCAGCCTGGCCAACATGGCAAAAATCCCCTCTCTACTAAGAAATACAAAAATTAGCCGGGCCTGGTGGTGGGCGCCTATAATCTCAGCTACTCTGGAGGTTGAGGCAGGGTGAACTGCTTGAA